TCTACTACTACTACTACTACTGCTACTTCGGCTACGACCGCTACTACGGTTACTGTAACTACTACGACCACTACGACTATCACCAGTACTACTTCTACTAGTATTTCTACGAGTATGACTACTACTAGTACTAATAATAATACGACTATTATTACTACGACGACTACTACTACTACGATACGACGACGAATACTACTACTGCTACTACTACTACTACTACTACTACTAAGAACACGACAAGTACTACTGCCACTACGGCTACTACTACTACTGCTACTACGACGGTTGCTGCTCCTATTACGATTATTTTTCAATTACAACTATGTATGATATTACGGCTGCCACTACTACTTCTACGATTACTACTACATAGTTTCTACCTTTACTACTACTACTACTACTACTACTACTACTACTACTACTACTACTACTACTACGACTACTACGAATACTACTACGACTATTACTACTACTACTACTACTACTACTACCACTACTACTACTACGACTACTACTACGACGACTACTACTAGTATTACTACTAGTACTACTACTACTACTACTACTACTACTACTACTACTACTACTACTACTACTACTCTTACTTTTACTATTAGTATTACTATCACTACTACTACTACTAATAATAATAATTATACTACTACTACTACTACTACTACTACTACGACTACGACGACTACTACTACTACTACTACTACTACTACTACTACCACTACTACCACTACTACCACTGCGACTACGACTACTACTACTCTTTCCAGGCAGTTGGATTATTTCCCGGTCATTTTTCCTGCAACTTGCGCGGCCATGCTGAGGTTAGTGATCTTGTTCTTCGGTTTATGCATGGACGACACATAAAGTCTTCAGGCTCCGTGTATCTCCACCAGCCCATCCAGACGCCCTGTCCACGAGAGCTGACGGGAAAAGGGACGAAAGGACACATCTAGGGAAGCAAAGCGAGCAACCAGGATGAATCGTCGAGTGAGTGAGCTGAGTGAGGTGAAGGCTTAAAATCGCATTCGAGGCCCCGTCGCTGAGATGTCACCAGTTGCGCGTGAACACGTACTCCCGCTTCCAATACAAAGCATATTGCCAAGTGCTTCCGCTTTATGTCTTCCTCATTATCCTTCAGACCATTTGTCGCCCAAAGGGCTGGTGGGACTTCTCAGCCATCAGCTGGTGGTGGTGCTGCTGCTGGTGCTGCTGATGTTGTTGCTGCCTCTGCTGGTGCTGCGGCTGGTGCCCTGGAAGGCCTGTTGGGGCCATCTAGGAGAGCATCGATCAAAAGATGGGGGGTCCTTGATTTCGGCCCCGTCCCAGGAGCCCTCAAAATCGCCTTTTGGAGCTCTCTTGGGGCTCTTTGGGAGGGTGTTAGAGCTCTCTTGGGGCTCTTTTAGGGGTCTTGGGGCCCTCGTGGGGCTCTCTTGGGGCCCTTTTGGGAGCCGTGGAAGGCCTCTTGGGGCCATCTTGAAGGCCATCGATCAAAGGAGGTGATGGTGTAACGTTCAGCCCCCCCCAAAGATGCCAACATGGGGCCGAAATCTTAGTAAAACCAGTGATTAAGGCCGTTATGGACGCCCTGACACTTCGCGGGCCCCCGAAAATTAGCTTCACGCAGGACCCAACCATATGCAGGTGTGAGTACCGTAATTGTGATTCACATTTTCGGTGGTGATCCCTATGAGGCAGCGAACCGTGCTAGGGGTGTGCCGAAATGAGTGGCGTGGTACACAACGCGAACGAAAACGATTGATCTGAGTACGTAGGGAGTGAGCGCGGGTGAATCTGAGCGCGAGTGCGTCTGATTGTGAGTGAATCTGCGTGCGAGCGAGTCTACGCGCATGAATGCGAGTATGGCAAAGCATGGTGTCATTTTATATGAACGTCAATAGTTTGAGAATGACTGCCTTTGAGTACTCGTGACGCTGGGCGTGGCCGCAAGGAGCTTCCCCAGGACTCCCCGACGGCATCGCCCGCGCGCCGCGACGCCAATGTCGGCGCGCCCCCCGCGGAGCCCCCGCGATGCGCGCAGGTCGCTCCGGAGGGGTCCCAGCGACGCGCGCGGGTCGTCCGCTGCGCGGAGCAAAGAGAGCTAGCTGGCTGGCTGATACCGGGCAAGGATCTTGCCGCTGGGCAGAGCGACGACGGGCGAGCGAGGCGCTGGGCAGAAAGCAGCGCGGAGTCACCGCGACGCGCGCTGGTCACCCCGGAGGGGTCCCAGCGACGCGCGCAGGTCGTCCGCTGCGCGTAGCAAAGAGAGCTAGCTGGCTGGCTGATAGCCGGCGAGGCTCTTGCCGCTGGGCAGAACGACGACGGGTGAACGAGGCGCTGGGCAGAACGCACCACGGAGTTCCTGCGACGCGCGCCGGTCGCCCCGAGAGGGCCCCAGCGTCGCGCGCGGATCGTCCGCGGCGCGAGGCCAAAAAATTAGTCAGACCGTCGAGAGACGGCGGGGCTCGGGCGGGCCGCTCCTCTGATCAAGCCTCGGATGAACTCGGTGAAGCCCAGCTCCCTGGCGAGGGCCGTCGCCTCCCTCCTGCGCCGCTTCGTGCGCGCAGCAAACTGCTCCAGCTGCTTCCGCAAGCCCTCCGGCGGCCTTGCCAGGAAGAACTCGATGCGCGGCGGACTGCGCCACAGGTCCCTCTGGGGCCACGACGCGTGTGAGGGGTGGGCCGAAAGGCGGGGACGCATACGGATTGTGCCATTGGGACCTTCGGCGGAGCTCCTATGGGGCCACGAAACGTGCGAGGGGTGCGCCGAAATGAGTGGCGGGGACGCATGCGGACTGTGCCACGGGGACCTTCGGCGGAACTCCTATGGGGCCACGAAACGGGTGAGGGGTGTGCCGAAATGAGTGGCGGGGACGCATGCGGACTGTGCTACCGGGACCTTCGGCGGAACTCCGATGGGGCCACGAAACGGGTGAGGGGTGTGCCGAAATGAGTGGCGGGGACGCATGCGGACTGTGCCACTGGGACTTTCGGCGGAGCTCCTATGGGGTGCCGAAATGATTGGCGGGGACGCATGCGAATTGCGCCAGTGGGACCTTCGGCGGAGCTCCTATGGGGCCACGAAGCGTGTGAGGGGTGTGCAGAGATGAGTAGCGGGGACGCATACGAACTGTGCCATTGGGACCTTCGGCGGAACTCCCATGGGGCCACGAAGCGTGTGAGGGGTGTGCCGAAATGAGTGGCGGGGACGCATGCGAACTGTGCCACTGGGACCGTCGGCAGAGCTCCTATGGGGCCACGAAACGTGTGAGCGGTGTGCCGACATGAGTGGCGGGAACGCATGCGGATTGTGCCACTGGGACCTTCGGCGGAAACCCATATGGGGCCACGAAACATTGTACTGGGTGGGGGAGACGCATGCGGACTGCGCCACGGAGACCTTCGGTGGCGCTCCCCGTGGGGCCACGAAACGCTGTACTGGGGGGGGGGGGAACGCATGCCAACCGCGCCATTGGGACCTTCGGTGGAGCTCCGTATGGAGCAACGAAGCGTGTGATGGTGTTGATGATGCTGATGTTGATGGTGATGATGTTGATGATGATGATGTTGATGATGATGATGATGACGTCGATGATGACGATGGTGATGATGATGATGATGATGATGATTACAATGATGATGGTGATGATGATGATGATGATGATGAGAGGAGGGGAGGAGGGAGGAAGAAGGAGGAGGAAGCGCGGGGCGTTGCCTCTTCAAAACGAGGACCCAACACCACAGGGCGGTTGGGAAAAACTCCAGGGGGGTAGGGGGAGGGGTCATGACTCCTACAAGGAGCAAGCCGTGTAGCCCACACCCACCCGCCCTCCCAACACACAAGTAACACCGGGCCAAAAGACCAAAGGTTTGAACCCCCGAAAAAGTTCTGTCAAATACCAATGCAAAGGTCCCGACGGGACAATCGTAGTTCCGCTGTTGTTGCCAGGGCTGCTGGTGCTACTGCTGCTGTTGCTGGTGCCAGTGCTGCTGGTGTCCCCTCAGGGTCCTCTTCGGGACATGTTGCGGTGGTGTTGGGAGGTATTCGGGTCCTCTTGGGCCTCTTTTGATGGGTCTTCGGTTTTAGGCTACTCTTGAGGGCCTCCCGGATGCCCAGGAGAGCCTCTTGGGACCAGCCTGGACGACCACCCGCGGCCAGAAGGCACGTGGGATTTGCCGGTGCCCCAGCCGTCCTTGTAAAATATTAATGCAAAGTGGTCACGGGGCGGCCGCCCATGCTCTGAATGTGGATGCAGAGTGTGTTTTGTAGTGTTTTTTGACATGGATGGTGGGGGGGGGGTGGCATTGTTCCGGGTTGGCCGCCGGCCGGGTGGGTGGGTGGGTGTATTAATAGGGAGCAGTGATAAACCCCTCCCCGTAGAGGAAGAGGGTTTCGTCTGGAAGAGGGAAAAGGATCTCCTTAGACCACCTGCGCCCAGCGGGCTGGTGGGATACGTTTCATAGGCGCAAGGTTCTCCGGTCCCTGCTCTTTTCCCCGATCTACCGGGGGATGTCATTTTATCGGGGCGGCAAAGAGGCGGGTGATGATTAGGGGGGGTTGGATATCATGGCGTGGGCCATGATATTTCCCTAGATTTCATGGCGCCTCTTCTTATTTCATTACGTCCCTGGCCCTCCCGCTGGGCCGCGCACATGCCGCCGGTCATGATTTGCCCCCCCCCCTCTTGGACGCCCCCCTCCCGATTTTATCCCGCGTTTGAACCGTCGAACCGGGGAATAGAGCATTGCCGGGGGGCCTGGGGAGGGGAGGAGGGAGGGCGACAGAGGGAGACATCGGATCGGATCGGCTGCCCGCGGACGGGCCCGCCCGGGGCCATCCGGCCCGGGGGGGTGCAGCACCCCTTGCCCCGCCGAGGGCGGGCGCGGGAAGCAGGGAGAGGAGGAGAGGCGGAGCGAGGCAGGAGGACGGGGAGAGAGGCCCCGCGACGCCCAAGTTCCGCCCCCCCGAGGGCCCGCCGCCCGCCCGGCAGAGCCGTCTGCCGGCTCTCTCTGGCGCGCCCGGGCGCCGTGCGCGATGTAGCGCCGCGCCCCGGCTGCCTTCCGAGGCCCGGCGAGGGCCCCCCGAGGCCGAAGGCAGCCAAAAACCTCCCGTCCTGCATGATTCATTGGCTTACGCCACACCGCCGACCCTTTGGGGCGGCAGCAATCGTCCCCCCCGTGGCCTATCCGGACAGCCTGTGAGGCCCCTCTAGACACGTTTTTGAGCCTTCTTAGGACCGTCCTGCCGTTCCCCCGGGCCGTTGCTATGGTTTCTGGGGCCGTCGTGGGGCGCCCAGAGGCCGTCGTGGAGCCTTTTGGAGAGTCTCTTGGGGTGCCAGAGGTCGATCTTGGAGGTTTGCTGGGCCGTTGTGGGCCTCGTGAAAGCCCTAGAAGCGAATGTGCGGAAAATGTACGTTTTTACTAATGGAATGGGACCATTTTTGCTTGTGGGGGCCTTCTTGGAGCGCCGCGTGGTCGCGTACGCAAGCGTTTTGGACGCCCTGGAGGCAATCGTGGGCGGCTTGGACCGAATCGTCCGTCCCGTGGGCCGTCCAGACAGCCTTTGGAAGCCCTCTTGGCCCGTTTTGGAGCCCTCTTGGGACCGTCCTGCGGTTTTCCTGGGCCGTTGCCATGGTTTCGGGGGCCTTCGCAGATCGCCCGGAAGGCGTCTTGGAGCCTTCTTGGGAGCCTCTTCGGGTGACAGGGGTCGATCTTGGAGGTTTGTTGGGCCGTTGTGGGCCTCGTGAAAGCCCAAGAAGCGAATGTGCTGAACATGTGCGTTTCACCTAGGGAATGGGACGATTTTTGCTTGTCGGGGCCTTCTTGGAGCGCCTCGTGGTCGCGTTTTCAAGCGTGTTGGACACCCATGGGACCTTTGACCGCGATCTTGGGCGGTTTGGACCGAATCGTCCCCCGCGTGGGCCGTCTGGACAGCCTTTGGGGGCCCTCTTGCCCCGTTTTGGAGCCCTCTTGGGACCGTCCTGCGGTTTTCCTGGGCCGTTGCCATGGTTTCGGGGGCCTTCGCAGATCGCCCGGAAGGCATCTTGGAGCCTTCTTGGGAGCCTCTTCGGGTGACAGGGGTCGATCTTGGAGGTTTGTTGGGCCGTTGTGGGCCTCGTGAAAGCCCAAGAAGCGAATGTGCTGAACATGTGCGTTTCACCTAGGGAATGGGACGATTTTTGCTTGTGGGGGCCTTCTTGGAGCGCCTCGTGGTCGCGTTTTCAAGCGTCTTGGATACCCATGGGACCTTTGACGGCGATCTTGGGCGGTTTGGACCGAATCGTCCCCCGCGTGGGCCGTCCGGACAGCCTTTGGGGGCCCTCTTGCCCCGTTTTGGAGCCCTCTTGGGACCGTCCTGCGGTTTTCCTGGGCCGTTGCCATGGTTTCGGGGGCCTTCGCAGATCGCCCGGAAGGCATCTTGGAGCCTTCTTGGGAGCCTCTTCGGGTGACAGGGGTCGATCTTGGAGGTTTGTTGGGCCGTTTTGCGCGGCGTGGAAGCCGAATGGGCGAATGTGGTGAAAATGTACGTTTTCCGTAGGGGATGGGACGATTTTTGCTTCTGGAAGGCCTCTTTGGGGCGCCTCGTAATATTGTTTGAAACGTCTTGAGGACGTATGGAGCCGTGTGGAGGCAGTCTTCGGCGTTTTGGCGCGATCTTCCGTCGATTCGTAGCTCTCTTGGACCGTTCCGGGAACCTTTGGAACCGTTTTGGCCCGTTTTGGGGCTTCCTGGGGCTCCAAGTGTGCGGATGATGGATTTGCCCCTTCCCTCCCCCATCCCCCCTCCAAACCGGCCGGACAAGGCCCCCCGGGGAAGGCTTTGGGGAGGGGGAAGCATCTCACACGCCGTGACCCCAAAGGGTCGGCGGATTTTTTTCCCGACGCGATCATGTCAGAGTCGCATTTCTGTTCGAGCCAGGCGTCTTCGATTTTTTCGGGCCCCGGGGCCCTCACATATCGATCTGGCTCGACAAATAGTACAAAGAGATGGCGGTCGGGACTCTGATCGCGATTTCTCGTTATGTGGTTGGCAAGGCCAGATCTCAGGGTTTTCCTCTGCGAAGACCACCGAAGAGCATCCTGGATCATCTTGCCCAAAACAGCACGCAAGATACCGGCAAATCCACGGGGAGTGGACGTCGGAGCGACGGCGAGGGCACGTCGAAAGTTGTCTTCGGGCCCAGAAATCCGTCGATGTGATATTGTCCATCCGGGTGCTTTTGATCGATGTCGGCCTCTGGGGTCCGTCAGCGGGTCCTGGGGCCATCAAAAGTTGGTCTGGGACGCAGACTGGCCCCCAGGGAGGAGGAGGAGGAGGGAGGAGGAGGAGGAGGAGGGAGGAGGAGAAGGAGGGGAGGAGGAGGAGGAGCTACTTTTTGTTACTGGGGTGTGCCACAGGTGCAGAGATGAGCATGAGAGAGGAGGAGGAAGGAGGAGGAGGAAGGAAGGGGGAGGAGGAGGAGGAGGAGGGAGGATGAGGAGGAGGAGGGGGAGGAGGTAGGAGGAGGAGGAGGGGAAGGAGGTGGGGGGGGGAGGGGGGGGGGAGGGAGGGGGATGGGGAGGGGGGAGGGGGAGGGGAGGGGGAGGGGGAGGGGAAGGGGGGGGGTGGAGGGGGAGGAGGGGAGGAGGAGGGAGGAGGAGGAGGAGAGGGAGGAGAGGGGAGGAGGAGGATGAGGAGGAGGAGGGGGAGGGGGAGGAGGGGGGAGGAGGAGGAGGAGGAGATGGAGGGAGGAGGAGGAGGAGGAGGAGGAGGAGAGGGGGAGGAGGAGGAGGGGAGGAGAGGGGAGGAGGAGGAGGAGGAGGAGGAGGGAGGGAGGAGGAGGAGGGAGCTCTGGGGCCGCGGGCCGAGAAGATCATCACGGAGGACGTCTGGGGGTGCGTTCGTTGCCTCTGCGCCTCGAGGAACACGGCGCTTGGCGGCGCGCGGCAGGGAGGGGGGGCAGAGAGGGGAGGGGGAGGAGGCTCCTTGGCAGGAGGCGCGGGTCTGCCAGGGAGGCGCCGCCCAAGATGCCGAAGGTTTTCGGGTGTGGTCGTTGGCCCTGCGACGCGAGGAGCACAGCGCTGGGCGGCGCAGAAGGCTACTGAGAAGCAGCCCTGCTTCTCAGAAGGCGCGGGCCTTCTCTACAGGTGTAGGGCCGGCGCCTTCTGGGAGGCGGCCTCCTAAGAAGCGTTCCCCTTGCCCTGCCCCCCTGTGCACGCCGCCAACACGCGGCATGCTCGTTCGTTGGTTCTGCGACTCGAGGAACACAATCGGCGGCGAGCCCGTGGGGGAAGTGAGAAGGGGCGGGCCTTCTCAGAAGGCTTGGAAGTCCCCCCCCCTTCTGAGAAGTTCCCTGAGCCTTCCCCGAAGACACGGCATTACTTCTCAGAAGGCGCGAGGGCTTCTGAGAAGCCCCGCCGCCTTCGGAGAAGCCGTTCTCTTTCTCACTTCCCCCCGGGCTCGCCGCCGACACAGCGCGGCATTCAGGAGGGACAAAAAGCACACAGACACAATTCATCGGCAATTCCCCAGAAAACATGGGAAAATATGGGAAGTGGGGGGGAAGACAGAAACCCAGAAAAGATGGGAAAATGTTGGGAATCTTTCTATGTGTGTGTACACCTTATGCGATGCTTAAGAAAACCTACGTTTTCGTCCAGAGTCTCGATTATTCTTAATTTTTCAATGTAAATCCCAAGATTTTGATAGAAGTTCTGGGTTACATTCAATTTCTGAGACTATGAATTTCTTAACCCATGATTTCTTAAGCATTTCGCAGGGTGTATTTATGTGTGTGTCCTGGGGCCCCTTTGAGGCATGCACAGAAACTGTCGGAGCTCCGCGCGGATTTCGTCCGCGCTGGGCCTCCCTGGCGACGCCTCCGTCGCCGCCCCTGGAGGAGGAGGAGGAGGAGGAGGGGAGGGGGGAGAAGAGGGGGAGGGGAGGAGGATGGTGAGGAGGAGGGCGGAGGAGGGAGGTGGAGGATGAGGAGGAGGAGGAGGCAGGAGGAGGGAGGAGGAGGAGGGAGGAGGAGGAGGGGGAGGAGGAAGAGGGAGGAGGAGGAGGAGGGGAAGGAGGAGGAGGAGGAGGTCGGAGGGAGAGAGAGGAGGGGAGGAGGAGGAGGAGGAGGAGGAGGAGGAGGAGGAGGAGGAGGAGGAGAGCGCTCCGCGCGCCAGGGAGGGGGGTCCCAGCGCCGATCGCCGTGGAGCATCCTGACCGTCAAGACGGAAGGTTTTTGGGGCAGTTTTGCGGCCGCGGTGCGTGCGTGGAGAGTTTTCGAGTGCGTAGAAAGACAAGACCATCGCGGACGCTATCGGATGGTCGCGCAATCCGATTTCCACAAAAATTCAACGTTTGCGATTCCGTGTAGACGTCGCGGTGTTTTGGGGGTTCCGGGCTGTCGAAGACTGCGGGGGGCTCTCGCTGGGCCCTGGGACCGTCAACAGGATCACGCAGGGTGAGGAGGCGGCCTTGGAAGGGCAGGGACTTCTGGCGACCCCGCGTGGAGAAACTCGAGACGCTAGAGGCTCAGGGACGCTCGGGGCCCAGATATCCGACGACCCGATTTGTGTAGTCCCTGCGCCTGTTCTTTATCAGGGCCATCAAGATCGGTTCTGCTGACGGGGCGGAGATCCGCCCCAGACTTCCGAGGTTTTTTTTGTTGTTTCAGAACGTGGTTCCCCGCAGGTCTGGACCCTTTTCAGGAGGAAAGAAAACACACAGACACAATTAATCGTCGATTCCCAGAAAATATGGGAAAATATGGGAAGTGGGGGGGAAGACAAAAACCCAGAAAATATAGGAAAATATGGGGAGTATTTTTATTTGTGTGTATTTATTTGTGTGTCCCAGGGCCCCTTCACCTTTCCCTGAGTTGCTTTTGTGGACCGCCCTGGGGCCCAGCGAGGGCCCCCTGGAGCCCGTTTCTTGATTGCTTCGGGCACGACGGGCGTCATGGCCCCCGCCCACCCCCCCCTGCCCTATGACGTAACGCCCCCCCCTCCAGCGTGCTCCGGGCACTGCCCCCCAGTGCGTTCCGAGCACTGCCGCTGTGCGCATTGGGATCCGCGTAGGTGTCCGCGTAGGAATCCGCATAGGAGTCTGGTCC